ACAGTGGCGAAGACAGGTTGATGAAAATTCTTGACATAGAGCAAATCTTCCATTTTGCCCTTCTAAATGGCATAATTTGTGCCATTCAAAGTAACCATTCTACTAGTGTTGGCTTCCATCATTTATCATAAATACAAATACTATTTATTAGGAGACCAAAGTAATTCTTTTCTGATGTGGAAGTTCAGACTGTGCTGCAACCACAGAGCATACTCAGACAGAACCTTGGCTCTGATACCACTTGTCGGGAATAAACCTCGTAAAAATAGTATTCACGGTATTAGTGATAAACGCAGAATACTAAGTTATGGTTAAATCAGCAACAATATAAATGCAGCAATAATGACACTAAGATTTTACGTGGAAACCCTTCTGAATAAGGGAAAAAACTACGGCCAAGAAGAGCAACTGATATCACTATAGCGATGAATTTTACACTGTGTAGTAAATACTCCTAAGACCACTACACCCTCAAAAGAAATAAACACTCTTTTGTTTTTTTCCACCTCACTACAATATCTATCACACTCTATTTTTCTTCACAAACTATTTTCTTATAGTTTATGGAATACCTTACTCTCTCTTTTCTCTCTTTGTTGGTGTGTAGAAATGAGAGTTAAAGCTCTCCTTTTATGCCCAAACTTCACTCTCTAAAGCCTACAATATTTGACAATTTACACACCCTTTTCACAATTTCAATAAGGTTGGCTACCAAACCAAACCAAGTCAATAAAATTGGCTACCAAATTATACAAATTCAACAAGGTTGGCTACCAAACCAAACCAAATCAACAAAATTGGCTACCAAATCATTTGAATGAGATGGACACCGTATCACGGATATTCATGCACTTTCTGATCCACATTCTTCAATCTCAATTGTCTCGAATTTTCTTTTGACTTGATCCCCTCGTTTTGGTCTTCAATGTAAGAGTTGTTCTTCTTGTGAATTGTTTTTTGACTGCCTAAAGCTTGAAATGAATTTAACACTTTGTTACAAATCTCATATTGGTACTCCCCTTGTTTTTTATTTCTAAATTTTGACTCGTCAGACTCATATGAACTTCTCCATACATCTTTAGAAAGCATCATTAGAAAAATAACAATGTCTTCTTCAGGGAAAGTATCGGAAAATGAACTCACTGGTTTTGGTTCTGGTTCAAATTTAGTGGATTTCTCCTTTTTCACTTCCATTGCTTCTTTTGATATGAACAGTCTTCTGTTTCTCTTCGATCTCCTCCGAGTTGGCTTCTTTGTTGACTCAGTTTCACTTTCCCTGTCATGTACTACCACTGACCTAGCACCATCCAAAAACTTAGGATCTACAATCTTACAACTATTCTTTGGATTCTCTCTTAGCCCATAACCCAAATACTTCTCTTCCCTAATTTTTCTTGTTATTTTAAGGAATGAAGTGAGAGAGTTGACTTACTATGGCCGCCGGAATCTTGTTTTTGCAGCGAAGGTTTTGGGTTAAGTTTTCCGGGTCGGGTAACGGATCGGCTTATTTAAATCTGGTTGGGTATGAATTAAAAGGGATGGTGTTATTATAAATAAAAATACACGTCAATTTATGAATGGATGACTTATCTACAGTGGCAACCATTTGAAAAAAAAGGGAGTATCCGAACCAAGAGTCGGCAAGGTCGATTATGAGCCAAAGTTTATTTGTAAATCTTTTCATAAAATTTGGGGATTTTTGGACCTTTTCCGTTAAAGTAATACCTTAGTTTCTAATCAACTGTCAGCTTTCTAGTCGACTAATTCGTGATTTAAAGTTAACTAAAAATCTTCATATTGCCGCTTTTTCTCCTTTTCACGATTAAGAACTTGTTTTGATTCTTTCATGGTCAAATCAAAATCCACTAAGTTTTTAAGATAGCTTTGTTTGATATGCCCCAATTCCAGAGCCTTTTGTTCAAAAAGATCGTCAATCACATCCGCAGAAAATGATGATCTGCCTCAGACTGGGTCTTCCTTAAATGTGGGTATGTTGATTACTTGATCAATTGACCATATGCAATCTTCATGTTGTCCTGGTGTTACAAATGTTCAGTGGAGGAATACATCTCTTCCTACTGTTAATTCAATGGAGGATCGTATTGAATTCTCAAGTACAATATCACTGAATTTCCTTGTAACGTGCGAACATAGAACTATTTTTTGTAGTGGCATCTTTTCTTGGCTTGATTACTACTCCAATGCAACTTTATAAAAGAAACATAGTGTTTCATACATGACTTATAACCTAACTTTGAGGTGCCATAAATATTAAATACTTAATGCTGTCTGCAGTTCTCAAAAATATGTTCTTAGAAGAATACCAAATTCACACTCCTATAGGTGCATCATCATATTGTTACCAGTGCTTGAAACAATCTTAGAAATACAACATATAATGGAAGCATTCGCTTAGCTTGAATATTAATAAAGGGACACCCCAAAAGAGTCTACAGCAGTCACAGAACTAAAAAGGGTCTTCTCAGTATTCTGCTACACAAATAAATATCTGAATGTACATCAGCTAGAAAAGAAAAGCTTAATACAATACAGAAGAAAAAATCATAATGACCGTACTAACCCTCTCGGCATTCTATCAAGGGGTCTGGCTCTAGTGTTTGTAGTGCAGAGAGGTGAGTAGAAGAAAAATAGCATTTCTATGCATCAGTTTTAATCAATTTGCAATTTCTAGGTTGATTTCAAACTAGAAGTTACTATTAATAGAGAAACTTATAAACAAATAGGTAACATATAAAATAGCTCCTCTCTACATTACCGACGAAAATGGATATTTACAACTGATGCCTGCAGAAACAAGGTTTGTTGAACAGAAATTGCAAGGGGTAATATTGGGTGGAAGAGGAAGGAACAGATCTTCTTAGTCCGCCCATCCGTGCTGCCGGCTTCGGGTCCTAATAAGAAGCATAGTGTTGTTGGCATAAATGTGCATTAAGAATATGCATACGAAACAAGCAACATTCACAACCAGAAGACGATGAAGCTTGTCGAGATTTCTTAACGAAAAAACCAGTACCTGGCTTAATTTTGAATTTCAGGATATTAGGTTGTCTCCTTGAAATGAATTTGATTGGATGGTCAGTAGACTGTCTATGGCGGTCAATCGCTGAAATAAGCTGCAAAAGAAGGTTTCATCAGGAATTTAAAAGGCTCATGAGAATATTGCCAACATTGTGTTTAGAATCAACACTTATAGATTGCAATTCAACAAAAAATGCACATTGGGGTGTAGGTAAGAAGGAAATAAGGACTCCATAGACCACGACGAACAACTGCAATGAAAAAAGCCAATATGTTCCAAATTTTATTGAAGCATCAGAATGATATTAAATGAAGGTTGCTTATGGAAGTCCAGCTGTAAACTAATTACAAATGATTTAACTTATCAACAAAAAAAAAAAACNCCCCCAAACCCCAAGGTTATTATCCACTATTACAGAAGAAAAAAATCTAAATGATTCAGCTTATTGTTAGGTAAGATAAAATGTCCATCCGGAATGGATAACTCTCTTAACCCAAACTAGGGTGTCAAATGGGTGGGTTGAACCAAATTTTGGCAGTTAAGCGTGTTGCATCAATGAAGGCTCAATGACCCAACCCACCCAACTTTTACTTGGGTCAGTATGCACTTGGTTAATTTGGACTAAATAATGGGACATAGTCTGACGCGCTCAAGTCAAAACCTTTTTCCCATTTGTTTGTCTCTTTCATCATTTGATTGGTTACCAACTAAACCAAAAGAACTCTATTTTTTGTTACAGAGAAAAATGTGTGGAAATGTAATCAATGAAAAGTATATACAAACGAGTCAAAATATTTCTTTTATCGATAGATGTAGACACCGACATCGAGGGCTCCAAACCTTCCCGTCGATGTGAGCTCTTGGGGAGATCAGCCTATTATCCCGACGGCCCTTCACTTGGCACCGTCAGATCACTAAGGCTGACTTTTGTCCCTGCTTGAGGGATGGTCTTGCAATCAAGCTCCCTTTTGCCTTTGCACTCGAGGGCCAATATCCTTCCGATGCATATTACACACCAAGCCAAATAAAAGTTTCTTTTTATATAGGGAGGAAGTGGGTGAAAGTACAACAACTATGCCTTAGTCCCAAACAAGTTGGGATCGGCAATATGAATCCTCACTTCTCCAATTAAGTTCAACTCATGCAATCATCATACCAAATAAATCAAAGTGAAAAAATAAGTTAAATAAATAATAATAGTAAAATAATAATAAAAAAAGTTCTCTTTCAAGACTAAAACCTATGCTATCACCTATAAAATAACTTTATTTTTTGTCACAGAGAAAAATGTGTGAAAATGTAAATACGGAAATGGGTGAAAGTACAACAACAACAACTACCCAATAAAATCCCACAAAGTGGGGTGTGGGGTGTGGGGTGGGTACGCAGACCTTACCCCTACCCCGATACGGCAGAGAGGCTGTTTCCGATAGACCCTCGGCTCAGAAAGATGGAAATAAAAATAAAAACAAGAAAAGACAATTCATTAGTAAATCCAGTAGAAACCGTAATAGTAACAGAAGCATAACAACCAAAAGATAAATGACATGCAACCAGTATCTAAGGCCCGGGGCTAAGATAAACAACAAGGATAGTATGGACTCAACATAAACTGCAAGCCATCTAAGGTCAACCCTAATCCAACCCCGCCTCACCCCCGGAAATGGGTGAAAGTAAAGAGAAAAATTCATACCAAACCCAAAAAAAAGGGTTAAATGATAGTGTGTAAAAGGGTAGAGAGGGAACTATAGCCGCCAAAAACAAAAAAAAAAACTACCTTTTCTTTATAGAAAAGAAAGTGTGAAGTACGGAGAGAGAGAGATATCCCCTAACCAACACACTAAAAGCGCAAAGTGAGAAATTCACCCAACAAACTAAACCAAAACCTTTCCCTCTTTGTAGCAGCACAAAGTGGATGAAAAGTGTAGAGAGAGAAAAATACATAGTAAACTAAACTGAAAAGAATTTTTTACTAGCACAACATGGTATATGTAAAAGGGTAGAGAGAATTTACGAAAATAAAGAGAAATATCCCTACCAAGTCAAACAAAAAAAGTTCTTTTGTTCATAGAGCGTGGTTGTTTTTCCTTTACACATAGGAACGGTATGTCAAAGTATAGAGAGTGAAACAACCAGCTGCGCAAAACCTCAAAAAAACAAACAAAAACAAATTATTCCTAGTTTTCTTAAGGCTTAATTTGGCTACCCTGGTCCAGAAGTCATGGGTTAGGTTAATTTAGGTTATAATATATTTCTCGTCGATCTTGTTCAAGATTGGGCTGGTTACACATATGCAGATACATTCACACTCCTAAGCCAGGCCTAGCTCAAGAACTAATTTCCACTTCCTCTTTGGAATAGTTTTTTCACCATGTTCAATATTTAGAAAAGAATTTTATTTCCTCTAACCAAATGTACATACACATTGCATATCATAATAGTTTGAATAGTGCAATTCCATTTAATGCCAGCCATGGACGACAATAACTATCATTTTCAGGTACAAGTATTAAAAAGTAAAAAGAACACCTCTCTCTGTTTCAATTTGCGTGCCTTACTTTCCTTCAAGTCTATTAAAAACGAAAATCCCTTCCTATATTTAGTAAGCTTTAAATTTCATCATTCTCATTTTACCTTAACAGCAGAATGACATGGCATGTTTAAAACCACAAGATTCAAGAGGGCATTTTTGGAATTGTTAGACATATTCAGTTTAAAGGCCACAAGATTCAAAAGTTCTTCTTACATTATTAAACTTCGTGCTCTATCAAACTGAGACACAAAAGAAAACAAGATTATATTTTTATGATAGGATCCACGTGTCAGTATTATGAATGTTCCGAACACCCCCAACCTAACAAAAAAGAGGGAAGGAAATCATTCATGGAGTTCATTCAGCTGGTTATCACGTTTAGATATCCAGATAAACCTAGTCATGATTTTAGTCCCGGATATGGATTTATCATGTGGCATTCGCATAATAAGTAGAGATTGAATTCTAGAACCAGACCTTCTCATCAAATCTGAAGAAAGACTGGTCAAAATAAGGGGAAGGGCTCTGAGACTGACAACTAAAAGGCAAGGAGGCCATCATCTTCTTAACAAACTGCATTAAGAAACAGCATGGTATCAGTTTCAAAGCACAAAGACTGTCACGTTCCTCATACTAAGAAAATACAAATGAGATATAGCAAAAGAACATCGGTGGTGTTTCTTTCAAAACAGGCGAAAAATGATTTTCAGAAATCAAAAAGTGAAATAATTTTCTAAAATCTTTTTTTCAACCAAATACCATTGGGTAAAGTTTTCCAGTTTTGGGGGAAACTGAACACCTCATCTCTAATGGTGTTTGGTTGAGAAAAAATTTGCAAAAACTGAAAGTCTTTCGAAAAGATATGTTAACATTTTCTGAAATAAAACCTAAGCACTTCAAAACTTGTCAGTTTAAGAGAACATTACTTGAGGAAAACTGGTTGCTTTATTCTTTGTGCACCTTAGTTGCTCGAGGGCGTGGATGTTGTTTGAATGAGAGGACATGAAGTTCATATGTAATGAACTTCTGGATGAAACATGAAAGTGGTCACTGAACAGCTCGAACAAGAAATAGAGCTCATCGGCTGAGTTCTAAAGGAAACAGAAACAGATCAGTTCAGATAAATTTGCATAACAAAAAGTAAAGCACTTGAATATTACACAGATACCTGATAAAATGCAACAATGTCAGTAGTCTCCATATTATAAACAGCAAAAAAGGAAGGATGGCTGTCAGCATTTCGAGATACCTGTGGATTCAACAATATCCAACAAGCCTGGGTGTCAAGCTATTCCCATAGAGAGCAACAGTACAAAAGATATCGGGCCACTAAAAATCATCGGAACAAATAGATCCTAAAATACGACTCTGCAACATTAATCAATTGATTAAAACTTGGGTTATAAGTTGCCGCAACAACTTATATTAGTCTGCAACTTGGAAATTCCAAACAAATTTAGAGGGGCAAGATGAGCTTATGTATAGATCTATCAGTTGAAACCCAAAGCAGATCCAGCTCTATGGTTGGATGAGAGAAATGGGCCTCAATCGCAAACCCATCTAATAATTGAATTCCATATAAGTAAATTATCAAAGACTCTGATGCAGCTACTTTTAAACTATAGGTCAAGCTATTCCCACTGGGACAAGTCCAATTACTTATTATCATTTGTTTTAAGATAGTGTTAATGTAAGGAGTCAGATACTTCTCTTATGTGGATATAAAAGAAAACAGAATTCATCATTTCAACTATTTTGAACGTCAAATCTTATTATTTTCGCAAGGTTCCTATATCGAGCTAACCATCAGACCAAACAATAACAACCCAATGAAATCCCACTAGTGGGATCCGGGAAGGGTAGTGTGTACGCAGACCTTACCCCACCATAGTACAAAAATCATTAAAGCAAAAAAGGAAATCTCACCCCACCATCAACACTGCCAAACTTGATCAATAGGTGATGTCGGTCCAAAAATTGTACCTGCTCATGTTGCAGTCAAGAAGTAGCGAGATGTTCAATGACGAGGAAATGAATCAGAACCTGGAAATGTATAGGAGATGACCAGATGCAACTAAATATATCCAGTTTTTAGCAGAGCATCTGGGTAATAAAACATACAAAAGCTGAAGTTATAGCACTACCTTCCAGATAATCAAGTCAATGTAATCTTGAAAGTGGAAGTAAAACTTCTTCTTCAGGCACTGCACTCGCTGATTATTGAAAAGATAAACCAGTGTCAAGGAAAATAAGATTGTCACTATAAAGAATGATAAAAGAAGACATGTTAAGAATGAATGGTTTGATGATTCCCTCTAGCATGTTGGGGTTTATATGATGTTCACAAGTAATCCAAAAAGGTAAAGGAAAGTAATCCCTAGTAAGTCCTATTCATATTTACACAATTATTTGGATTCCAGCCTTGCCTCTATATATACAAGTAATGAGCTCTTGCCATATAATAATTTCCTAATATAATACTCCCCCTCAAGTTGGAGCATACATATTGTACGCTCCTAACTTGCCATAAATAGGCTCAATTCTAAATCCACAAAGTAAATTTGTAAGAATATTTTCAAACTGATCATTTGAGTTGGCGAAACCTGTCGCCATGCACCCAGATTCAATCTTTTATCAAATAAAATGACATTCATCTTCTATATGCTTTGTTCTTTTGAAACACTGCATTCACAGCAATGTGTACTGTAGTTTGATTGTTGCATATCAATTTCATGGGTGCATCTCCATCACACCTTAACTCTTGAAGAAGTTGTTTTAACCATATAAGCTCACATGTAGCTAAAGTAACTGCTCGGTATTATGCCTCTGCACTTGAACTAGCTACTACATCTCGCTTTTTTGCTTTTTGAAGATATATTAAGATTCCTCCGGTTATAACACATTTCCTAATCTGCATCAAAATATCCAATAATACTTGTCTCTCCTAAATCCTCCTACAATAAACATTGTCCGGGTGAACCTCTGATATACCTTAAAATGCGGATCATTGTGTTCCAATGATTGTCAGATGGAGTCTGGAGAAACTGGCTAACACACTATCAGTAAATGAAGTATCAACAGGTTCGCAGTTTAACATGCTAGTATTTTACAATATGTCCAAGGAAATTTCCTCTGTGAAATGACAATTCCACTACAAGATTGCGCCATCTCAATGCCTAGGAAGTACTTTAGTTTATCCAAGTCTTTAGTCTGAAAGTGACCACTAAAATGCTGCTTAAGATAAATAATGCATTCATGATCACCACCTGTTATAATAATATCATCCACATAAACAACGAAGAACTATGCATTTTCCATTACGAGAATGTTCATAGAACATTGAGTGATTGACTTCACTTCGAAGCCTAATTATGTGGTTTCTTTTTGCTGCATCCATGGGGCCCCAGTTTCTATAGAAGATTAGGTGTACTTAGTAGAGAATCATATTTTTATGTACAGCTCTCTACTGGTACACTTCTTATATATAGAAACTTTCTCATACATTAATAAAATTATTTTTTAATCCAAAAAAATTTAGCCAAGGCCAATCTCCAAAGTTCCTTCCAAGATAGTAACACACCTCTGTGAAGAGTCCTTTACCATCACTTTCCATCTCGCCTGTCTGCCTTCTAACCCTTAANACCATCACTTTCCATCTCGCCTGTCTGCCTTCCAACCCTTTTGAATTCTCATAATAATTCTTTATAAGTATTTCATTCAAACAAGCAAGGATGCCAACATAGTACAATGGTTTTACAAAAGGTATATAGTTCTAATAAAAGGATAAATGAAATCATGTAAGTCATTTACATCTTGCTTACACCAAAAAATAGGCATTTAAGCAAACCATATGCAGAACTCCACACTGCAAAATATTTTCCTTCAAAACCCTCTTCTATTTCATTCCTTCCACACGACCACATAATGCGTAAAGGAGTTATATCCCAAAGTCTCCTTACTTCCTTACAGACCAGACAAACATTCCATACAGATACAAATAACAATTGACCCTGGCATTACCCATTCCATTCGAAACAAACATCATATGTATTCCAACCTCACTTGTATAGTGCAGGAAAAGGTGATTGTACTTTCTTCTTGCTCTTCACAAATAAAACACTCATTTCACAGTGGTCTCACTAAATAATTTATGACATGAGTACTAAAACATCCATTTCACAGTGGTCATCTTAAATCATTTATAACATGAGAGACTACTCTCCTTTTGATCGAGGTTCCATAAAATATATGGACACAGGATCCATGTCCTGAAAGACTTTTTTTTTTTTACGAAATAAATTGTTGTATTAAAAGGCATCAAGGATCCAGAAAGACTTATCCTTGATGAATTGCATTTTAGGCTACGTATCAAATTACAAACTCATTCCCTGTTCAGCAGTCCGAGGCTAAGTAAGAAACATTGTTCTCCTGTACAATGAGTTTTTCAAGCATTTTGTTTTTTGGGATAAGCAAGTAGATGTTCTATTATTAGCATTTAGATATTGGCAAAGTCCAAACCTGTGATCAATGCAGTTATAGAAGAAGTAAATGTGATCATTCCAGTTTATCAGAACTATCAAATAAATTTTTATTCAGAAAAGAGAACCCTCCCTCAAAGCACACATCTAAAACCAATAGTTGTATACCTCTAGATGTATGAGGTGGAAAATCGGTATAAGATGACACTTTAAGGACTAGAAAATAATCTCAAGTTTTTCAGAATCAGAACAATCTAGGACTTACTGCTTTGACAACATAATAAATTAAATAAGTAAACAACAACATCCTGAAGCTCTAAAAGTACAAGGAATTCAATATTCTATTACTAACCATGGTCTGGTCAGTTTCTTCATTCCATATACCTCGAAATATAAATGAAAGCAGCCGCTGCTTTATACCACTCAGGAAAGAAGTCTCTGGATCAGGCAGACCATGATGAAAACCATTTCCAACATGATTTACAAGCACCTGATGCAATAGGTTACTGTCAGAGATTAGCATGCACAACCGCTTGTCAATTTCAAAAGACCCAAGTCCCTACACGTAAGCAAGAAATAAACCATCCTCCTTGCTCGCCTACCCTAACCCAAAATAAAATACTCCCTCCGTTTCAAAAAGAACGAACCTTTTACTATTTTGGGAGTCAAACAAGGTTTAGTTTGACCATGTCTTTTGCAAATAATTTTCGAATATTCTGAATTGTTAACTATTGTGACTTATAGTACTTTTTATGTAGTTTCTAAATACAACAACAGCATATCCAGTATAATCTCACAAGTGGGCTCTGGGGAAGGTAGTGTATATGCAGACCTTACCCCTAATGTAAAATTTTATTTCAAAAATCTTAAAGTATCTATGTCCGAATGCACACCGAAAATTAGTCAATTTGACCATCGTACTCCGAAAAGATTCAAACAAATTGAAACGGAGAGAGTAAAATATAGTGAGAGAAATGGGCAAAAGCATGTGTATGTCTGAAAACCTTTCGACATGGTGACTGACAAATGGCTTTTAGGATGACTGACAAGGAATGCTGAAAAGCTTTTAAGATCAACAAACAAGATCCATTAGACCTCTTTGACGTAATGACAGGACAGATATCGTGGTGAGTCTACTACTGTGGAGAGACATTAGAAGTCCAACTCCTAGTTTATACTCAGCCTGCGAACATTTAAACAAAAAGGAGGGAAAGAAGACACAATTGCCTTTTGGTTAGTGCTTCATGGAACTATAGTTTAGTGGACGAACCAATTTTCTTCTAGACAGAAATTGTCTCTTTTATTTCAATTACGCACTGAATAAGTCTTGGTTCTTTAAGTAAGTCAAAGAATAAGCATCCCACAAAACTAACCCTAAACTTAAAAAACTCGAAACATAATACTTACCTGGGAATTGGAATTGAGAAAAAGCTCATCATCTTCACGGCAGAATTCCCCAATTGCTCGTACATCAACAAGATCTCCAGAATCTCTGATCTGAAGGATGTGTATTCTTTGAAAACGAAGGGACACTATAGCAAGCAAATCATCATACAAGAAAGCACCAACACTATGTGCCAAATTAACATAATCATTGTGAAAAACCCTCTCGTCAAGTATAGCTCCATCCTCCAACCTAAGTGAATAAAACCAAACCACAACAAAGCAAGCATGATAACTTCAAAGACCAAAAAATATATCAAGTGCTCATGAAACTCATAGTTGGGACTGATTACACACCTCAGAAGGTGGAAAGTTATTTTTTCAACTGAAGGGACACCCTGAATTGCCCCTCCTGTAGGAGGAGCATCATGAATTTGTGCAGTTGAAGTTGCAAAGAGTCCAAATTGATTGCTCTCCATATAGAGAAAGAAATCCTTGCATATAAGTTCCCCACTAGAAGCAAGAGTTACACTGTACAGTTGCGTGAAGAAGCTCTCGAACTTCCTGGCTTTCGAAGGAAGATCATGAATATCACAATCTTCATCTTTGCAGGAAAATGACAACCATGTTGGTCTATAAACAATCAGATCCTGATGATTTCGGCTGAAACTTACAAGATATAGACCATCATCCGTGAACTTGCGAAATGAATGGTCGGGACATTCAACATCATATACGGTATAACTTGGTACAATGTTCTCATAAAATCTTCTGGCACGATGAATCTGCAAAAGGTGAATCTGTATTCTTAGGCAACCATAGTTGTGTCTGGTCTGGAGGAAAATGTTCTCTATAGAGCAGGTTGTACCTTGGAATTTTTTTTGGGATCGTTTTCAAATGTTTGGTTGGATATAGGGGCTGGTGACATATAGTATCAAAATACAAAATATAGGACAAAGTATGATGATAGTTTGACCACATTTTTTTATCAATAAAGATTGGCAACAATGTCTACATGTTGATAAAAATAAGTAATAGCGAGTAATAGTTGGAATGTAAAGGATGATGACTTTAGGGAAGTCATAACAAATCTTCACGAAGAGGAGATCTGTAGTAAGAGCTCCCTCTCTCCCTGCTTTCAGCACCTTACTATTCTTTCAGGGTAACTCATGAAGTTACGTCTTTCAGTACGGGGACTTCAAAAACAAGTATTAGACTCGCAGTTGTAGCTTGGGAGTTGAATTACAAAACCAAGAGCATAAGCATGAAAATAATTTCATAAACAGTGATAACACCTCTGATGCTTAAAGGGTTCAGCTGTTCCATTAATTTCATTTTTGGTCCCTCAATTATCTGTAAATTCTGATTTTGGTCCTTACGATCTGACTAAACACATTTAACCTTCAATCAATTAAAATGAGTGTTTTTGGTCCCCATATGTAACAAACATGTTATATTTGGACTTTTTTTAGAACTACATTTGTTTCGTATACGTACATGTTGTGTTATTCGCTTTCATTATCATGCTATCTTGCTGTTGCAATTGTTTGTTGCTTTAGTTACATTGTTCCTTGAGCTGAGAGTCTACCGAAAACAACCTCTCTATCTTTGTAAGGTAGGGGTAAGGTCTGCGTACACACTGCCCTCCCAGACAGCACTTGTGGGATTACACTGGATTTGTTGTTGTCGTTGGTGTTAGAACTATATTACCCTCAAAGTATGGAGTAACAATACAAGTTTAACATAATACATGGGTAATTAAATGGTTGAACGGTTAAAATGCTGGTAAATTAGTGAATATTCACAAGAAAATGAATCCAAAATGCACATTTCAATAAATTGAAGGTTAAATATGCTTAATCAGACATCACACGGACTAAAAATCAGAATTAACCCATAACCAAGGGGCCATAAGAATACAGTGAGCATAATTAGAAGTACAAGGATGAAAACACCAGAAAAAGGGGGGAATTAAAAGGGAGAAGAAGAGGAGAAGAAGAGACATACACTGGTGCCTGGAGAAGGGGTACAAATCTGGCGCTCAAAAAGCCTGGCGGTAACATTGTTGCTTGTGAACATCAGTCCTATTAATCACTCAAACCTATTCAATAATGAATTGCTCTCACAGCATGACCATTTGACTAAATACAAAACCAGGGCAACAGACCAGTTCTTCAGTAGCAAATAGTACCGAGTTATTGGATAATTGAAGAAAAAAAGAACTTGAGTAGCCTCAATTAGGGTCGATGAAGTCGAAAAGGAATGAACTGTTTGGATTTTTGCAGTTTAGTCGTTGGCACAGATATGGGAAGGCAACATTTGGTTTGCGGAGGGAGTGGGAGAATGAGGTGGAGGGAGTTACAGCGGTGGCAACAATTAAAGAGGGATGTGTGAATAGTAGCGTGGTGCTGCTAAGGTGTGTGTTGTTCGGTTAACACTCGGGAAAGGACGAAAAGTGGACTGGTGAATGTGTGTGGATAAATTCCACTTGGAAAATATTTTGATATACAACTAGTTTGGAAAATTTCTTTTTTAGGTTGTGGAATTTTGATTGGAGGACGAGAAACTCATTTTATTCATAAGAAGGGAATAATGCCTTCTTCGTTGAAAAAATTCTTTTTAGGTCAATATTTAGAAGTTAACAAAATTGTATGTTTACCTTGAAAACGGTAATTACAATTAGATTTGATTTGTGGTTCTAAAAATACATAATTTATTTAAATACTAGTTTTTAGGCAATAGATGCTAAGTATGAGCTAGGAAGGTAGAGTAAGAGTAAAAGGCAGTGTGGTTATTCAAACCAAACTACTGCGAATTGGGGTCTCTGACTGGCCTAAGCTAGGCCTCGAGGTTGAGCTGATGAGCTTGACTGGGGACGATCGATGAAGAACTAATAGTTCCAAGGGCCTCAATAATGGCTCTTTATGATCAATGATGAATAATAAATGAGGAACAATCAATGAAACACAATAAATGTAAGCAACAAATCAAAGGAAAGACAATGGAGAATGTTTTAGTTAGAGAGTAGAGAATGTTCTTGTTCTTGTATTGAACATCATGTGTATTTACAAAATGACAAGGGTCCCTTTTATATAGGAGGGGGAATCCCAACATAGTACATATGCATTTATTACAGAGATATGCAGCTGGTACGGCTATCTAATGTCACGGTACGGACTTGTACTATTCTTGTAGACCTGGTCAGCTTTAGCCACGTGCCTTTTGGGAATTTCCTGCTTGTCTAAGATAGCCACCGATTTGCACTTCCCCGAGGTCGAGCATTGGGAACCCTCGGGGTCAAACCTCGAGCTGTGCTTCGAGGCTTTTGAAGACGGGCTGTGAAATGCCATAATGATCACAAAAATTGAACTATCCGATTTTAGCCACATACAAATAGTCCTCGCGTTTCTTAGAGTGAAATGATAAGAAAAAGTCTTAAATTTTTGCCTCTTCGATACTCCCATCATGACGTCAGCCCCGTTAGGGCATTAAATGATATGACTCAAAGGCTGCGCAGGGGTCGTTGTCAGCATGATTACCGAAAAGCCCACAAAGCATCATTGGTTCGACATTTCCACTCCTCAAACATTGCCCAAATGGCTTCTATAAATATTTCAATTTTGTTCGCCATTCATACTTTTACAATATCTTTAAGTTTTTAGAGCTAAGTTCACAACTTTCTGCATCTATCTTCTTTCTTTGAAATTAAGTTATAATCATGGAAAAAACATAAAAAACGGCACCTCATAAAGAGGGTACCACTTCTTCATCACGCCCGTCCAAGGGCAAACCCAAAACACTCCAAGTATTGAGCAATATATCTCTCGCCCCTTCAATACGGTCTCCGATTTTACCATTGATAAACCCTTTTCTACACCAGGCCGATGCGAGCCCATGTCGCGGTACATCAGTGTGGTGACCGATACGAAGAAAGAAAAGGTAGACTGCCGATGGGGGGAGGCAGTGTAAGTAGAGATACCCAAAGCTGAGGAAAGCATAGTGGCACAAAAAGCTGGCTTCCTCAGCGTATACACATACCCCTTCACTCTAGGACCCGTAGATTCTTCTTCCCTACCGATAGATTTGGTGAGAACCGGGTCGAGGGAATGACATCCACCCTCGATCACTTGATCAGATTGTACAACCCCCGCCTCTTCTGAAGGGGTTTAATCAAGCTACACCCTTGATCCGCCAAGATGTTCTTTGCGAGCATCGATGAGGACAAAGACCGAGGATGGATGAGTCGGTTTGTCAGAGTAAGGACCTCGAACATCATCCATACTGATAGGATGCCATTCCCGGAGGAATGGAACATAAAGCGTGAGTATTATTACATCGAGCACATTTTATTGCCTCTTCTTCTTCTTCTGAATTGATTTTCTTTTGATTATGTAGCCACCTTTTGGTTCCCTGGCGCGATCCAGGACCTCCCGAGATGGATCAGACATTTAGACTCTGCTTTTCCATACGGCGAGCGTGCTTGGCGTGATTTGGCCAAGATGCGGTTGTAGGCCAAGAACCACGGTATGCTTTCGTTGTTGTCATTACCAAGTTTTTTATGATTATTCTTTGTGGCGGTAAGTTTAATACATCATGCTTGTGCAGGTCTTGGGGATGGCGTGTTGATGAGACCGCATCCTTCTGGTGAAGAACAAGCCTCGAAACCTGACAAGGGTAAGAAGAGGAAGAAGAAGGCGTCGACCGAGTCTCCAGAATCAAAGAAACCCAAGGTCCACCAGCCTAAGACCGACGCCACGGTCTTGACTTCGACTGCTGTGGCAAGTCTTTGTGAGGATGATGATGATGGCGATTGCCCTTTGGTACAAAGGGTAAGACGGGGTGTTGATGCTCCACAAGCTGTAGGTCGGAAAGCCGCTGAGATGGGGGTAGCCGATGTGGACCAAACTCGTGCTGAGGAGACCCTCGAGGAGGGTTTGGGCGCAGTCCCCAAGCCTCAAGTTGGACATGGTACAGTCCATGCCGGCGAATCCTCGGCTGATTCAAAGTTTTTCGGGGTCGAGAAGAAACCCCTAAAGAAATTGACACCATGGGTGCCTTTGAATCAGGCCCTTTATTTTCTCCAGGAGAAATAAGAGATGCCCAGAACAGGGGCGCTGCCGATGTGGGGACCCCTCAGGGAGAGGATGATGCGTTCAAGAACTACTCCGTCGGTGTCGACGAGGACATAGATCTCGATGCCCTGTCACTCTCCGGGAGGCTGAGAGGCTTCAAAAGTAGGTGTTATTCTTGACATACCATTTGCGCTTTAAAATTTTACCCTTGCCTTTCTAACTTCTTTGTTGCAGGTCAAGAAATTGTATGACCACGCCTTTTCTAAGCTTCAAGATGAGCTCTTTTGCCGTGAGGAGGAGCTCGAGAAGCTCACCTCCTAGCTAAATGAGTTGAAGGCTTCCTCTGCCCAAAAGGAAGAGGATTTGAGTGAGCTTTGGGCAAGTCTTGAGGGAGTTCACCAGGAACAGACTAGCTTTGTTGAGTAGGTAACACGGCATTCATGTATTCATCTTTTTATTCTTATAACTTGATGCTCACTGTCTTGTTTCGCCTTTGCAGATTGGGCAAAAGGATGCCATGGTGGGGCAACTTCAGGAAGAGGCTGCAGCCAAGGATACGGAGATCCTTGAGCTGAAGAGGTAGAATGAGGCCGTCACCTCGGAGAAAGACCTTTTGTGGGGAGAGTTGGCCTCGACCCAGGATCTTCTTCGAAGTGCTCAGAAGGAGGCCACTACATTATCTGTGGCCAAGTCTGAGGCTGATGAGCATGGTGTCCTCATATAAGAGAGATGTCGCCACCGCAAACGATCAGGCCAGAGAGATATCCGAGAAGGCCGAGCAGAAGCTAGCTCGGGTCGTCGCTCATGCTCGTTTGCAAGCTAGGAGGCAGGCCTTCGAGGAAGTAAGCACCAAAGGTGTCGATCTCTCTACTGAGATCGAGAAAGATAGAACCTTGGAGGAAGAATCAGCACCTTCAACTACTTCGGATGAGGGTTCCGGAAGTGATTCAGACAGCAATGAGTGTAAAGAATAGACTCGTGTCGTCACCTCTGCTTCTCCTTTTCCTTCTTTTTGTGTATGGGTTCCTCGAGGGAGCTTTGTAAAGACACCCTTTGTAAATGTATTTTTGGGAATGCAAAAAGATTCCTTTGCTTCATGTCTTTAAATTTTATTTTTCAGTGCTTATGCAAATTTAATTTTTGAATTTTGATGTCGGCTCTTTGGAGACCATAGTTGGAGTAACCGAGATCCTCGAGATCGGGCACCATCTCGAGGCTAAATTGATAGCTCTTTTAGAACCATTACTTGGGATAATAGAGACCCTCGAGATCGGGCACCATGTCGAGGCTAGATCGATATGTGGATCTCGATAGCTCTTTTGGAGCCTATACTCGTAGTGACAGAGATCCTCGAGATCGGGCACCATCTCGAGGCTAGATTGATATTAATGGCCCATTAGAGCTCATAGTCATAGTAACAGAGATACTCGAAATCGGGCACCATCTCGAGGCTAGATTGATACAGGAATCTTGATCCCTCGAACGTTATATGACAGCATCATTCGTATGATATGACTATGAAGTGATCGAAGTGGTTCCGTCGGTACACTGCCTCTACTCCCCGCTCGGCCGGTGGTATACCACCGACGTCTGATGAGCTAACCTCCACATGTTTTGTCTCGAGGAGGGAATTTACGTTAGAGAGACCTCCCAATGTTCAGGGACATCGGGAGCATACATCGAGGTTCATCCCATCAATAGAAGAGAAGTATCTCAAGGTAGTGAGGAGAGACTGCGGATGGGTAGAAAAGGTGGTACTGCAGGTACCTTTCCTAGAAGAGAACATCATGGCTCATGTAGAGTGGTTTTTGAATGTTTACATGTACCCCTTTACGTTGGGCCCTCTCGATAGAGTCGTGCTTGACTTCTGTCGAAGATATCGGGTTATCCTAGCACAGGTTCACCCATCGTTCTGGAGAATAGTATTGATGATAAGGTTCTTTGCGGAGAAAGCCAGGCTCGAGTTCACCCTTATCCATCTCATCAGATTGTATCGGCCCTTGCATTATGTTATCAGATAACTTTAGGATGTCGATCTACTAGGCCCTTTTTTGCCAGCGATGAAGAAGATGGGGACCAATGGTAGATGAGTCGATTTGTCTGAGTATGGACTGTCGATATTATCCTCGCAGAGTTCCTTCTATTTCCTAAGAAATGGAATCTCACACGTAAGTGGTACACTTGTGTTTGTATCATTTTTGTTCATGGTGGATGTAGACTCCGTAAAGACGTTTTCCTTCTCTTTTCTACAGTAATCCTGTGGCTACCATATGAGGTCCCTGACCTGGCGGATTGGGCTCAAAAACTGGCAGCTTGCTTGGCTTACGATGAGCCTAAGTGGCGAGATCTATCCAAGGGTAGATGGGAAGCAAAACACCATGGTACGCGTTGTGTGG